CGAAAGTGTAGCAGCGGAAGATTTCTAGGCAATATCGGGTACAGACTCTGTCAGAAGAAGGAGATTTGAATCTCGACAGAAGTGACTAATACAATGCGGTACAAGGGTTTATATAGGAATACAGTGGAATACGAAAGGTCCTAGCTAGCCATGTACTCTGAGGGGGTACATTCCCCTTAGGGCTAATTTAGATGCGGGATGGCAACCGTGCGGCTCGGTAACCGTACGCGGTCCGGTAACCGTTTGACGTTTCCCGCGATTTTCATTTCGAACTCTTCCTGCTTGTAACTGTCTTCGATAACTGTCTTGTCGCTTGGTCTTTCGTCCTCGCTGCAGTCATCTTCGCGGTAAGGATTCGTTACTTTAGGAATGTTCAATCATTCCATATCGTAACAAACTTGAAAACCAAGTTGTACTAATGGGCAGCCATATTCAGGCACAATACTCGTAGTCTACTCCGCTATTCAGTACCACAAGAGCACATATGAGGGATCTAGAGCATCAGCTGTATTTCTAGAGGGCTGATTGGCTGCAATGCCACACCCCCAAGTCGCGAGCATTATCGCTTAGGTCTCTGCCGTTGTCGCCCTGCATCACTAGGGGGTTCCCTCTGTCGAGAGTAATCCTCCCACAATTTTGCCTTTTAGGTGCTATTTTCAGGCGCTTGAGGATTCTCTTCCCCTATTCTTGGAGAAGCCCGTCGCACAGTTGAGTGACGAATTCTAGGTTTGCTCGTTAGCTGGTTTGGCTCTCGCTATGTTTTTTGCCTTTCGCCAACACTGTTAAAGCCATTATTCGATTTTTACAAAAACCACGCTGACCTCGAGCTTTAACAAGCGGTACCAAAATCTTGTAGAGCAAGTTTGCTTGGGTGCATTTCGGTGTACTTGAACGCTCTAGTCTTGAACAGTGTTTGAACAGATAAGTGAAGTGCCCTCAAGCAGTAGCACTTGAGGCAGCCTTGTTTAAACTTCAGTTCTTCAATCAATCCCAGGCCCATCGTGTGTCAACAGACAGTACTCTCGCGGCTGGTCAGCCATGTGTCGACCGATGCGCTTCGCTCCCGCGCGACTCGCTAGTCCTCGTCTGCTCCACACCCGGCAATGGCCGCTAAAGTCCCCTCCTCACGCGTCGCTTTCCTTGCGACCCTCCACCGTCGGGCTTATCGCTCGCTCCCCTGCTTTGCTGTTTCATCCACCAATACTAACCTCTATTTTTGGGCTGCTTGCTCTGCTTTCTTCCTCTTGCATTTCGTGAATTTCTCGAATTCGCTCCTCCTTCGCCTCACTGTTTTCTTGCTCCTGCACCAGAGGAACCAGCTAGCATGGAGGAGGCATTAGCTGGACCAGATAGGGAGAAGTGGCTGGTTTCTAGGGATGCAGAGTATAAGAGCATGCTAGAGAATGGGACATGGGATTTGGTGGTGCTGCCTGAGGGGAAGAAAGCCGTACAGTGCAAGTGGGTGCTGAGGATCAAGACCGATGACAAGGGGCAGGTCACCATCTATAAGAGTAGGCTGGTGGCTAAAGGGTTTATGCAGAAGGAGAAGTAGGACTTCAACGAGATCTTTGCTCCCACTGCCAAACCCCCTACCCTCCGTGTCTTGTTGGCAGATGCAGCTGTTAGTGGGAAATTCATAATTCAGATGGAAATATCAACAGCATTCCTGAATGAGATTTTAGAGGAGGATGTGTACATGACGCAGCCGCCTGGGTATGAGGATGGTACGGGCAGGGTGTGCAAGCTGAAAAAGTCCATCTACGGCTTGAAGCAGGCGCCACGCTACTGGTACCAGAAGTTGGCAGCTGTTTTAGAGGAGATGGGATTCAGAACCAGCTGTTGTGATGAGAGTCTCTTTCTCAAGGGCGACAAGCTGGTGCTGGTACTGGTCTATGTGGACGACATTCTTCTCTTCAACAGCAGCATGAAGGAGATCCAGAAAGTGCAGCAGCAGCTGATGGAGAACTTCAAGTGCAAGAACCTTGGGGAGGTAAAGTACTACCTCGGGATGCACGTGGAGAGGGATCCAGATCATAGGTGGTTGAAGCTGCACCAGGAGAAGTTTATCAAGGAGCTGGGGGAGAAGTATGGGATTGAGAATGAGCGCAAGGTTGCAACTCCCCTGCCAGCAGAATTCAAGCTTGTGAAGGCTGCAGAGGATGAAGGGGTTGAAGCCGAGGAGCAGCAGCAATTTCAGTCCTTGGTGGGCAGCCTCTTGTATGCAGCGGTTCACACAAGGCCCGACATCTCTTTCTCGGTTGGGCAGCTGGCTAGGGTGGTGCAGAATCCATCAGAGGAGCAGGTGGATGCAGCTGAACGTGTGGTGAAGTACCTGAACTCTCACCCAAGCATTGGAGTTCAATACTCCGCATCTGCACAGGTGAAGCAGAAAGGGGTTGAGGTGCTGAAAGAGAAGGGGGAGAGGCTTGGAGAAGGCAAGCTCTTTCTCACTTGCTTTACCGATGCTACTTGGGCTTCTGAGAAGGAGGATTCCTCATCTGTGGGAGGATACATCTGCGTAGTTGGAGGAGGACCTGTTAGTTGGAGGTCCAAGAAGCAGACGGAGACAGCACTCTCTTCCGTAGAATTAGTGTACGTAGCAATGTTCCATAAAGTGAAGGAGGTGATTTGGCTGAGGAGGCTGTTAGAGGAGATTGGCCAGGAGCAGAAGGTCGCTACGCCGCTGTTTTGTGATAGCAAGGGGGCTCTTGGGATGGCCAGGAACGCTGTGCTTCATGGGCTGAACAAGCACATGCGTATCAAGTGGCACTAGCTGCGTAAGGAGGTGAAGAGAGGGACAGTAAATCCGATCTACATCAAGACTCACCAGCAGCCAGCAGACTTCCTCACCAAGAGGCTTGCGGATGAGCCTCATTGGCATTGTGTGCGCATGAGTGGAATGAGCATGAACTAGCATGGAATAATGGGGATGCAGCCGGCAGGCTGAGGGGGAGTGTGTTGGGTGCAAATTCACATTGCACGACATCTTGCCGTCTGTTTGTACGAGTATGCGTGTGCGAATGCATTTGCGTGTGCATGGTGTGTTCGTGTGTTTGTTTGCTTTCGCAATTTTCGCTTGAAGCATTTGCAGGTACTCGCGCAATGTGCGCTTCGGCACAACATTGTACGCACTATGAACAGTGCAAGCAGAAAGGACGAGCTCGCAAAGGAACCCAAGATGGAAGCTTTGCAGCTCGGTTTGATTGATTGTGCAGATTCAGTTCTATCCAACTCGAAATTGTACTGTTTTGTTTGGTTGACTATAGTGTAGCAGGGCAGGCACTATAAGGTTGGATGTTGTTTGTCTGTATCTGCATGCTACAAGGCCAGGGGAAACTAGCGGAACCAGCATTTGGCTGGTTGGGCAAAGACAAAACAGGTTCTGTTTTTAGAACCTGAACCTGGTTGTTTTCCCAGGTTGGAAAAACGGATTCAGAGGTTGTTTACCAACCTACCACCTGCTATTTTGTCCAGCCAGGTTGGTTCTGTTGCTTGGAATTATTTGGGATCATCCCTGGTTGTCCCCAGGTTGATTCCCAAGGTCCTTGCTAGCTAGAACTATTTATTCCTTCTCTGTTTGTACATGGATATAGTCAATTGATTCAAGGAAATTCTGTCATCGCTGGAATTTTGTTTCTACGTGGTTCAACGGCGGAATGCTACCCGAGTCAACGCTAGTACGCTAGCACTCTAACGCTAGGCAAACGCTGTTCGAGCCATAACTTCGTAATGGCAGAACTTTTCGCGATGCAACTTGGCTTATTTTAGCTCTTGGAGCGAGCTTCGATATAGCGAATTCTCAGCTTTATCCGATCGACGTTCTGGACGGCACGCTGCGCGACGTTCAAGGTACTCTCGTTATTTTGGCTAAGTCATTCTTGACTCCTCTCTCTACAAACTCGGACCCGAGGATAGGGGCTGGTCTTGTACCTGGCACCCAGGGACCCTTGGAGGTGACCCCGACGAGAGGTTTTAAGTTTGATTAAGTCTTAATAGCTTGAGTTTATTAGGCCCTTACACCAACAAACGCCCCCCGCATGTGCGCTCCCCTGTTCCGCGACCCTCCCCGGGAGCCGCGCAACTCTACAGTCATGCACGTTTACAACCTCCCGGTTTGCAGCGCCCCTGCATGGGCGCGGGGGTTGGTGGGGGGGTATAGGTGGAGAAGCGGGGCGGATGGGGAGATGACAGTGTGCGCCTGTTTCTTCTGATTACAGTGCCAAAGATACAGCTGACGTATATGATGTTTCCGATGATGTGGCAGCAGTTCAGTGGCAGCTGCTGAGCTGGAAGCTTAGATAGCGGGCGAGGCTGCAGCTCAGGCTGCCAGCGTGTATGCCGCCACGGCTGCTGCTGCGGGGATTGAGGAGGAGGATGCGGAAGAGGAGGAGGGGAAAGGGGAGGATGGTTTGGGGGCGGTAGGGAGCCAGCTGCTGCAGGAGCAGCGGCAGCAGCAGGAGGCCCCAGGCATCCAGCGCGGGAGCTGTAAGGGGGCTGCAGCGCACGATGTAGGGCCAGGAGGGCGTGGCGCTGTAGTACCCCGCGTTACAGGAACAAGTGATAGTGAACGTGGCGGTGGTGGGCGGTGGCATCAACGGGCTGAGTGTGGCGTATGCGCTGCTGGATTCGGGTGCACCGCAAGGCCACGGGTGCGGGTGGACGTGGGAGGGGGGGCAAGGGCCTGTCGGTGGTGGTACGTGCCATTGGTATGCTTCTCCTCCACCCTCGTGTTTCACCCCTGCACAACGCGCCTCATGCTGTGACCTGACAATGCGTCTGACTCACACCGTGCACAACGAGGTCAAACAGGGCCCGCCGCGCGCTGCCACTTGACATGTTTTAGAACCCCTTGTCTTCCTTTCCCGTCCCCTCGCCACACCCATGGCGTGTGCAGGGTCAGGGCGGACGGGGCGCACGATGGCGCATCTCATGCCGTGGAATGACGACTTCTACAACGCCTCTTCAGGCGGTGTCGGGCGGCGCTAGTGGGCAGGAGCCACATGGCGGCCATTGATTGGATGGAGAGGGTGGTGCGGGAGCAGGCGATAAAGTGCGAGGTTGAGCGCGTGGATGGGTACCTCTTTCCACCCGACAACTCCTCCTTGGACGCCAAGCGCAAGCTCATGCAGGTGGCCGGCCACGCTGCATGCGTTCCTACATGGGGCGGATGGGTGGGTGGGTGGCCAGCTCGTCACCACATGTGCGTCATGCCGCAGTGACCAGCAACCCCCTTGGCTGCTCCCCTCATCGCTCGTCTTCCCCCAAACTCCGAACGCCCTATTGCTGCCGTCACCAAGAGCTGGCGGCGTGTGAGCGCATAGGCCTCACGGACACGGCTCTCGTGGACCTACAGGGCAAACCTGCCCTCGCCTCGCTCTCCTCTGCCCTCCGCTTCCCCAACGCTGCTGACTTTCAACCCCTCAAGTCAGTGAGCGCCGTGGGTGTGTATGTCCATGGCCGCCACGTCTGTGGGCGCCGCGTCCCTGAAAGATCTCACCACTGCCGCCACAACCGTGGGGGGGAAATCGCACGCGAGTGAGCCCGTTGTGTGCCCCCAGCTGTACAAACCGGCGTCAAGCTTCTCATGCAACATTCCATGTATCTCGTGACTCCTGTGTGCTCACGTCCCCCTCCCATGCTTTGCAAAGCTACCTGCAGGGGCTAGCGAGGGCGATCATGGGGATGAGGGGCAGGATCTACAAGAACACGCGCGTGGTGCGCAACTCCTCCTCCACCACTCTCGAGCTCAGCACGGGCGTGCGCGTGACAGCTGGTAGCGTCGTATCGGCGAACAAATCGCCCATCAAGCAGGACCTGGCGGTGCACTCGAGGCAGATCACCTACCGCACCTACGTCGTGGGGCTCGCCGTGCCCAAGGGCTCCATGAGCTCAGTGCCGTCACCTTTCAAGTGGGGTGGTCATCGGTCAAGTGCGGTGACAGGGGATAGTGCAGACAGGTCAGCACAGGTGAGAGAGCGGCAAGACCTACATGGTGTGGTGTGGTTGGCCATGCGGCCCATGCCCACATGCACTGTGCGGGGAGGCTTCGCCATGCCACATCAACTGCCACCATTTTGGCTCTCCTTCCCTCACCTCTCTCCTCTTCCACACCCCCTTTCCCGGCCACCTTCCTCCCCTTCCTTCTCTCCCCCACCAGCTGTGCCCAGCGGTGAGACACGGCGGCCCCTTACCACTACGAGCCCATCAGCAAGCTCTCTCTCTGCTCCTTCTCTACTCTCTATCCTCCCCCCCCACCACCCCTCTTTCCAGCGCGTTTCATTCCCACCAGGCGCGCGCAGTGGTGGGACACGGTGTCGCCGCACCACTACGTGCGCATTGCTCGCGGGCCAAGCAGGGCGGACATGAGCACGCTCATAGTGGGCGGCGAGAACCACCCCGCGGCCGTGCTGCCACCCAGGGAGTACCGGCACTCGTACGCGCGCCTGGAGGGCGTGGGGCAGGGCCAGGTGGACCACCACTGGACCAGTGCTCTTCACCGCGACTAGTCAGGTGGGTTCTGGCCAGGTGGGCTCTTTCCCCCTCCGCATGGCACGTGTACGAGCCAGTAGTCCTTCTTAGGCTGTACGGCAGGAACCCTGTCTTGAGCTAGCCAGCCTTGGACGGGTACTTTGTCACCGATAGAGTTCAGGAATCCGTCCACTCAAAACGCATTCACACTAACCGAATAGGGTCAAATAATACTCGTGTGATTGTCTAGCATGTGACGGCAACACAACGAATGCAGCACCTGTAGATGCTGCTCACACATGTGCTCCGTTGTATGATGACCACATGGGATTGCTCTGCCTTATGTGCCTCTCACACTGGATTCCATATGTGCGTACACAGTTGCACTCACACAACTTTTACCTGCACACATTTCCCCTCGTTCTGTTCCTCCCACTGTGTCGTATTTCCATGCCTTCACACCATACCTTCCTGCCATGCCCTCCCACTACCCCCTCCCACCTTGCCTCCTACTCCGCATGCATCATCTCCCAGGCAACAGCGGGCAGGGCATGACGAGCGGTACCATATCCGGACTCGTGTTATCGGGTTTAAATCTCTCGGGGTGCAGCGAGTGGAAGGAGCTATACGACCCGCGCCGCCCCTCTCCTAAGAGACAGCACAGAGCATCGCGAGCATGTCTGCGCAGCTAGCCCAGGTATCTACCTGTAACATGCCAAACATGTGCAGCTTCTACAACTTCCCTCACTCACCTATCTCCCACCATCTTGCATGCCACACACCACACCAGCTGATTGGCCGTCATATCCGCACGCCCCATTCCTGTGATCCCCATCACCGGGGCTTTGCATTTGATCTGCCAATCGTGCCCGGAGAAGGGCGCTCAGTGGACAAGGTGCAGCCGGGGGAGGGTGTGTTGGTGGCGGTGGGGCGGCACAAGCAGGCCGTGTACCGCACTAATGCCGGCGACCTCAAGCAATAGTCAGGTCAACACACACGCATGCAACCACTGCTGCTTTCGGGTTGGGATGGGCAGTGCACAACCGAAATTTAGTGACAAGATAGTGACAATCAGTGCTGTTTTGAAGCTAGGAACTTGCCTTGTGCAGAGCATGAGGAGTCCTTAGCGAAGCTTGCGCCACTGTCCCATGATTCTTGCTTTGGGAGGGACATCTCGGAAAATGCTCTCGCTCATGTTGATGCTACATACTGGTGCTCTCTTCACCGTTTTCCTCCTCCCCCTCCCTCCACATATTCTCTTCACCTCACCAGCCATATGCCCGCACCTCAAGTGCGCGGTCAGGTGGAACCCTAATGACAAAATTTTTGACTGCCCGTGCCACGGGTCCCAGTTTGACACGCCAGGGCGGGTGATTTAGGGCCCAGCCAACCAGCCTCTCTCCGGTGTTCCGTGATGGCTGTAGTGGTTGAAGGAGGTGGAGATACAATGGCTGTGAGTGAAGAAGTGGATAGGGATTGGCTATGGCGGAAGAGGCTGAAAGGCTGGGGCTATAGAGATGAAGTCCTGATTGTAGACTATAACTGCTGTACAAATGGAAGTAACATATTATAATATGATAGCACGCAAGATGATATCGTTATGGCCTGATTGGTAAATTGTAAAGAAAGCTATCTTGCAACTTGTCGACTAAGAAACGACAGTAGGAGAAAAGAACAAGACAAGAACAATGCAAGAGATACACCACCAAACAGGTTGTAACACTTCACTACAGCTATGGACTAGTGGTCATACAATTACATATATACATTTTCGGACGCACCCCATTAGCTGTCTACAGCACACAGCTAGTACCGGCAACGGTTGGAGCTCAGAGCTTGACGCACAGCAGCAACAACTGTCCCTCAAAGAAGGCGCACGCGCGGCAGGTGCCCAGTAGGTGCGCAACAGACGAGCACATACAGCAAAAACGAAGTACGCAGAGCACATGGGAGAGACCTAGAGGAGGAGGATAGGCACAGCGAGGAGGGGACAGGCGCAGCGGAATGGAGGACAAGTAACCCCGATGTTACTAGAAGGTTCCGCGGGTCGCGAAGCATCCCGAACGGGTCTTTCCCGAATTCGGTAGGAGGCAACTTGGTGGCAACCGAAAAGCCTAGAATTCAGTGCACTCAACCTAGTTCGGTGCCTATAATTATGTATAATAAATATAGTAAAAGCAACGAACCTAGGAAATCAAGCAAAAGCATGCAAGATAAAATTGTGTTAAGCTAGATAATGTGTGATAAAGCAGAATCAAGCAAGTATAGTCGATCAAAGCCGTCATACTCTCACACTCAAGAAATGACCCAGTGAAGCCAGATGGGCCGTGTTGCCAAATCTCCACATGTAGGCTGCCCTGCAAGAAAGCTGTGGAGAAGTCGAGCCATGCAGCTTGTAGTCATGCTGTGCTGCTACGTGCAGTAACACCCGAAGAGTAGTCATCTTCGGAGTGGGGGAGAAAGTCTGAAAAAAGTCTACCCCATGACACTGACTAAAGCCTCGTGCAACGTAACGCGCCTTGAAGACAGGCGGGGAACACAGCGGCCGCTTCACCTTGAAAATCCACATGCCATCGACTAGGTTCGCCCCAGGAGAGGGAACAGCATCGACTTAGGTGCATGTGGACCTCCAGCATGCCATCTCTGGGTCCGTGGGTGCCTGCCACTAAAGAAGTACTGACCCGTAATCGCCTCTGTATAAGAGCGTGAGGGTCGGGATGTCCAGTGCATCCGGGTCTCCCTCAGGGGCAAGCAGCATGGCACCGAGTGAGGTACAGCAGCTGCCAGGTGCTCCAGCTCAAACTGTTTGTCCTCAAGGACGTCACAGCCAAGGACAAGCTCAACCCATTCAGACGGAGGGCAGGCAGAGTGACACACAAGACTCACGAAGTAGTCAAGGCAGCACGTAGCAGTAAAGTCAACAAGCTCAATGACTAAGGCATTCACAGCAGCAGACTCAAAAGTAGGGTCAGTGACAAGTGTGGCCAGATAGCGAGTGATAGTAGGACTAGCAGCATAAACAAGGTCAAACACAGGGTCAGGAATATCAGGAAAGGAGGACGAGGAAGGTAGCGATAGGATAGCACGCTGTGGAACAGAAGAAGGACGAAATGTGAAGGGGTGAGTGCCGAGGACAGGTGGAGGACGAACATGGCGAGCACGAGGTGTACAAAGAAAATGTGAGGTAGGACAAGACGCATGCTCTTGACGCTCAGTAAGGGAGTCTATCAACTGCGTGTAACGAGAAGGAATAAGCAGTTTCGAGGTAGGTGGTAATTGTGTCTGAGACAGCTCAGTCGGTGGACACAGTAGAGGAGGAGTAGTACCAGCAGCAGACGAGCTGCAGAGGCACACGGAAGACGGAGAAGCTGGTGAAGCTAAAGGCCAGGTGGTGGTAGCGATGGCTGTGGCTGCTTCCAGAACAACGTTTGCCACTGCAGCGGCCGCGCAGTAACCCCCGAACTAACTCCTCCAATACTAGTACCAGGAACTCATCCAGCTCCAGCACGACCATCACCCTCAGTGGCCAAACCTCCAGTACCAAGACCTCCAGCTCCAGAACCTCTAGAGTCACCAGAACTTCCAGCACTTCCAGCTTCAGTACCTCCAGCACCTGAACCTCCAGCACCTCCACCTCCAGCACCCCCAGAACCTCCAGCAACGGACCCAGGAAGTGGCAGCGACGATTGTTGCTGCTCCCAGAACAAGGGCTGTCGCTGCAGGGGGTGCAGTACACCCGTAGAGCCTCTAGCAGCAGTACCCTCGAATCCACAACTACTAGTGTTAAAATGGAAGGAGCCATGGATGGCAAGAGAGTCTGGTGAGGTTAAAAAATGTAATCGAAAGAAGTGTCGAGATAAAATTGAAGAAGAGATTTGTAAACCCTGATTGAACCTAAACAAACTGTTTGGGCTGAAAATTACAAAATGAACCTAAACAAACTTGAGAGCATAACTCGTTCTAAGCATGGAGAAATAATAAAAGAGCACCAAAATAAACACCAGAGCGAGCTCTAGCCTACTCCAAAACACCCCTAGGCTAGGTGAAGCTATGGAACAAAACACATAGCGAACCGAAACACCCCCAAAAGTGGCGAGACGAGTGAGTCCAAGCGTGCGCACATAGAATCGGTGCGGCACACAAAAGAGGGCATTGGTGAAAAAGTCAGCAAGGTTGGTGTGAGGACCTAGGATCGAGCTCACGAAAGAGAGTTTAAATTGAATGATCCTCCTCGGTACAATATAAGGCTATATATAGGCTTGACACAAGGCAGGTAACCCAGGTGTTACGCGGATGTTCTGAAGGTTACGAAGTGTCCCGCAGAGAACCTTCCCAAACTCGGTAGAAAGCAATTCGGTGGAAACCGAATAGGCTTGAGTTCGGTACATGTATCCTGGTTCGGTGCTATAACTATAATAAAATATAGGAATGCACCTAACCTAGGAAATCAAGCATATCTATGCATGATAAATAAAACCTAAGCTAGTATTAGCATAATATAGTCCACGCAAGCTAGCAAAGCCAGCATAAGCCGTCATACTCTCACACGTCCCCCCCTCAAAGCTGGGTGGCATGAAAGACACCCTGCTTGACAAGATAGTGCTTGAGAGAATGGCGTGCGTTGCCCATTGCGGCAAAGATTCCCTATACGGTCTTGGCGACAGCTCGGGTCGTTTTAAGACTACACGAGCGGTTTTCTCGCATTATGCGAGCAAGTCGGCTACATGCACGAGGCGGAGCAGGTGGACCGTTACGTCGGGGGGGCTAAAGCCGGACATCTCGCACGAAATCATGCTACGCTGGCTCTCGAATTTGAACGAGATCCTCACACTTTTCAAGCAGATCGACATACTACATCGTTCGAGACCGGGGTCCTACTACGGACATCGCCCTCAGGGAGCGACCGAGCACTCCACCGTGCACGTCATTGCGGCAAATGTAGCTGCCGCGCCATTTAAGGGGCGCTGCTTTGCTTGCAATAGGCTGGGCCATCGCAAGAGTGAATGCCCAGAGAAGCTGAGGAGCCGCGGAGAAGAGC